TACCTACCTACCTAATCTCTGTCTGTCTCTCTGTCTCTCTGTTTCTGTCTCTCTCTCCGTCTCTGTCTCTCTGTCTCTCTCTGTCTACCTACCTAACTAATCTCTGTCTGTCTGTCTCTCTTTCTCTCTCTCTGTCTGTCTGTCTCTCTCTGTCTGTCTCTGTCTACCTACCTACCTAATCTCTGTCTGTCTGTCTGTCTCTCTCTCTCTCCTATCTGTGTCTACCTACCTACCCACTTAATCTCTCTCTCTGTCTGTCTGTTTATCATCTATCTATCTATCATCTATCATCTATCATCTATCATCTATCATGTATGTATGTATGTATCTATCTATCTATCTATCTATCTATCTATCTATTTATATCTTATATATCTGTGTCTGGCTGGCTGTCAATTATCTGTTTATATCTATCTTTCTATCTGTTTATTTGTCTATCTACCTATCGCCTACCTACCATCCATCCCTCCATCTATTGCTATCATTTATCATCTATCATCTTTCTCTACATATCTATATCTTTTTCTCTTTCTCTCTCTGTCATCTAGTCTATCCGTCCGTCCATCTATCTATCTGGAAAAGTTTTAAGATAGCAAAGGATATATGCGGTCAGTTAAAGAGGGGGGAAAAAACTCCTTATGTGATTTTTGTTTCTAAATGACTCGCAACAAAAAGCCCTGGCGCCTCATCCGTATCCCTCTCCCCCTCTCCCTTCAATGTGATGCGATGTGATCTAGCCAGGAGATGGAACAGGCTGCAAAAAAATGCGAAGTGGAAAATTGTATCCGTAGTCTACACCAGTGTTCTCCAACCTTGGCAACTTTAAGACTTGTGGACTTCAACTCCCAGAGTTCCTCCTCAGCTTTGCTGGCTGAGGAACTCTGGGAGTTGAAGTCCACAAGTCTTAAAGTTGCCAAGGTTGGAGATCACTGGTCTACACACATACATTTATAATATTTTAGATTTTCAGATCTCATGTTTTCATCCCCTGTGTTTTTATCGATATGTGAAGGTGCCGTAAGAGGAATAAATAACCCCCTCTTCTCTCTCTTTCTTCAGCACCAGATTTTGCAATACCTGAAAGACATGTTTGACCTGGACATTGTACGGTACACAACGGTGACCTTGTTAGCAGAAGACATCCTTCAACTCTCACGGCGCCGCAGTGACATCCTGCTCAGCTACTTGGGAGTGGAGACCATTCCAGAGATCAATGGGGCTCTGCAAAATGACGATGTGTCCTTCCGTGGCTTCAGCTAAGCCTGCTTGCTCAGACAAAACGGTTTGGGGCTCATAAATGGGTTTGTTTTTCTCCTTTTGAAAAGGCAGCTGGCCTCCCTAGATTGGAGATTGAAGATGGACGGGAGCAAAACGTTCCCCGTTTGAACTGTCTAACTTGAAAGCAATTTTGAACCACCTTGCAACTTTTAAGAGAGGAGGACTTCAAATCCCAGGATTCTTCTGGGAGTTGATCCACCCCGTCTTAAAACTGACACGATAGAAAAACACTGATTTAAAGACTGTTTAACAAGTCCCAGGTGTGTCCAGCATTATCCAGGCAGGAAGGTTTTGGCCAATCAGCCGTCTCTGTTTCTAGTTATTTAATACTTGCACAAATTGTCGCCGAGACCCTGTCTAATATTCCTGTGATGAGATTAGTGCACAAGGACACANCAGGGGAGACATGATAGCATCTTCCAATATCTCAGGGGTTGCCACAAAGAAGAGGGAGTCAAGCTATTCTCCAAGGCACCTGAGGGCAGGACAAGGAGCAATGGGTGGAAATTAATCAAGGAGAGAAGCAACTTAGAAGTAAGGGGAAATTTCCTGACAGTGAGAACAATTAATCGGTGGAACAACTTGCCTCCAGAAGTTGTGAATGCCTCAACCCTGGAAGTCTTTAAGAAGATGTTGGATATCCATTTGTCTGAAGTGGTGTAGGGTTTCCTGCCTAGGCAGGGGGTTGGAATAGAAGACCTCCAAGGTCCCTTCCAACTCTGTTGTTGTTACTATATCTGTGGAAACCTCTGGACTTCATGGAACTGATTGAGAAGCAACAAGGAAGTCTGTCTGGCTTTTCACTGGCTAAGTTTTGGTTTCCTCTGATTTCTGCTCTTCCAGAACACCAAGGGCTTCCTTGAAAGCTACGATGAGATGCTGCACTACACGTTGAGACAAGGGACCTGGCCAAGCACGCAGAAGGAACTGGAAGGGCGAGGGGTGAGTGTTGGGCCCTCTCGTCCCGCTCAAAGGAGCCAGAGGGGTTGAACGGAAGTTCCGTCACACTCCTGCATCTCTTTTGAAAAACAGCATTGATACAAGCCTAGGTTTAGCCAGCATAGAAACCAGAGTTTCTGGAACAGGCTAGTATCGGCTGGGCTGACAGCTGGAGTCTCTAAATGTGGACTCTCCGTTGTACTAAGACGGGACTTTTCTAGTGGGGGGGGGGGGCACCTCGGATTGACCTGATAATTAATGTTTGTCGTTTTGGAATCTTAACAGGCAGATCTTGCCTCTATCCAGTTTTGTGGTCAATTTTCTCACTGGTTTATTTAGCCCACCCTAATCAAGACCACCCCCAAATAGTGCGGGGTGGGGTGGGGGCTATAATGATATGATGAATCAAATTAGGACCGGTTGGATCCTGGAGGTGGCGGAATTAGGGAGGTTTGCTGGGATTTTGGTGGACGGGCGTGGATTCTCTCTCTCTCTCGTCCGCCTCTCAGGTGGTCTGCATGAATTTTTTCGATATCGCCTTGGACTTCATCCTCATGGACGCTCTGGAAGATCTTGAGAACCCGCCGTCCTCAGTCGTGGCCATCTTGCGTAACCGCTGGCTCTCGGACAGCTTCAAGGAGACGGTGACTTTCTGGTGGTGGCGGGGGGGAATGGGGTGGTTAGGAATGGGACTAACTTCGGAGTTAAGGGGGCACGGCAGGTGAGAGCTCCAGGCCAGCCTCATTCAGGCACAGAAGCTCAGGAGGATTACGAGGTTCCCACCTGGCGCCCCCTGAATTGGAACAGATTTTAACAGAGTTGGAAGGGACCTTGGAGGTCATCTAGTCCAACCCCCCCTACCCAAGCAGCAGACCTTACACCATATCTGACAGAGGGCTTGCCCAGCCTCCTCTGGAATTGGTATGGGTGGGTACCGCTAGTCCTCAATTTACAGCCCCACATTTCTGTGGCTAAGCAAAACGGTTATCCAGAGAGAATTTTGCTCCATTTAACGAACTTTCTGGCTTCGGTCGCTAAGTGAATCGTTGGCAGTTGTTAAGTTAGTGACAGGGTGGGTCCGTGGACCTGGCTTCCCCTTTTGCTTGTCCCAGTTCATGGTCGTATGTTGAGGACGGGAAAGGAGAATCCAATTTAAAGAGAGGGGGAAATAACCCGTTTCCTTTGAATTCCAGGCTCTGGCCACCGCGTGCTGGTCAGTTCTGAAGGCGAAGAGGCGGCTTCTGATGGTATGTGGGAACGAGGGAGAGCCGGATCCAATCCCCGTTCCCCTTTTTCTCCTTACAAACCGGTTCTGGAAATGGGAAACTGAGCTTCCCTCTCCCTCCCTGGCCGTTTTTGCGTGCGATACGTGCGGTTTGTAATGTGTTTAACTTTTAAAACCAGAAGCGGCAACTGATCCACCTTTTCACTCTCTGCTTCTCTTTCAGGTTCCGGACGGTTTTATATCTCATTTTTACTCCGTATCGGAGCATGTCAGCCCAGTGCTGGCTTTCGGCTTTCTGGGGCCCAAACAGCATCTCTTTGAAGTCTGCAGCTTCTTCAAAGTAAATGCTCTTTTAAAATCTCAATATCTCTCTCTCTGTCTCTCTCTGTCTACCTACCTAATCTCTCTCTGTCTCTGTCTCTCTGTTTCTGTCTCTGTCTCTGTCTCTGTCTCTCTGTCTCTCTCTGTCTACCTACCTACCTAATCTCTGTCTGTCTCTCTGTCTCTCTGTTTCTGTCTCTCTCTCCGTCTCTGTCTCTCTGTCTCTCTCTGTCTACCTACCTACCTAATCTCTGTCTGTCTCTCTGTCTCTCTGTTTCTGTCTCTCTCTCCGTCTCTGTCTCTCTGTCTCTCTCTGTCTACCTACCTACCTAATCTCTGTCTGTCTCTCTGT